ATTACCGTATAGGCATTTGTTTAACTTCTATACTATTCTACTCATATCTCTGTTCTTATCACGGTTATAACCTCTGCCTGTTATAGCCACGTGCTAGCAGGAAGAACTGTGACCGCCCGCAACCCTCTGTTAGGCATACTAGACGGGTTTTAACACTAAGAGAAGTAGCTATCATTGAATCCAGGCGCTTTTAGCCTTAGACTAGACGATAGGTTAATGCGGCCATTGTCTAATAGCCTTATGTCGTGCCTGGCACAGACTCTATCAGTCTAGACTTCATTAGAAAAAAATGCCTGTTCTACTGTCTAACGGCGGCCGCGATTAGGTAAACCTGTAATGAGTTAATAGGGGTCCCCCATCAGGTCTTCTCCCGGAAGAATCCAGGAACCAGAATCACCGTTAGAGGCGTAGTTGACTGTGTAGATCACTAACGTTACGAGCGTTGATAGTAGATAGTACCGCGTTACAGCCTGCAGTGCTGTTAGCCGTGACGCTTGGAGGCCTCTACTCCCCCCTAACGTGCGAGATTGTTCTTAGTACACATAGCTGGGGGCCATGCAAAAGCTAAAATCAAATTCCTAATTAAATCCTTTAAAAATATAACCCACCATCGCCAGCTCTCCCAGCCTTCATAAAATCTTGGTTGTGCAGCCTAGAAAAAAGGGGGAAGGCTATAGATAACTTATCACACATACTGACACGCTATATCATAGGCGATGCCGGGCCTGGTTTTGTAAACGGGGAGGGCATCCTGTTGAGTTGTAAAGACGCTGGTTTGTGCCAGCGCTTGCTCGCTTGCTTGCTTGCATTGGGCTCGTGATCTCCCATAGGGAGAGTCATTTTTTAGAGACGGGCATCTGATCGACCGCTACCAATCCATGTCATATCGCATGCTGTAACTTGTGGGAGCTGCCGTCTGTCAAGTTGCAACGCCGAAGAACGTCAAATCTCTTTCAAACTGACCATGTTGCTAAGTTTGCGAAGCGAGATTCTGTCTCGGTGTTGGCATATACTGTACGACTCTGCGCCAATTTGTTAAAGAGTAAACGAGTCCTTCTTTTTTTTTTTAGATTTTTCTCCCATTCCCTTTCTCCCTATTAGTGTACTACACAACCAGCCCGTTGCTCGTAGTATGTGCTTTGTGTGTGTTTGACGCTGATTGTCAGGGCGCCTCAAGCTGCATTTGGTATCACTGGCCGAAAATGTATGTGGATGAACCTGGAACTGGGACGTATCCATATTTCGTGCTTCGTGGCACAAACTCAGGAGCTCGTAGCCGTCCGTCCGTCCACGGTTTTACGGGACGCCTGCGCACCGGCGCCCGTTGCACCTTTGACCTTCTGGTGCCACCATAGCCTGACAGGATGAACCTTTGTTTGTCCATTCCAATTACACACTCTCTACTTTTACGTTTATTTCTTTTAGCCGCAACTGTCGTCCCAGCTGGGAACGTCTGAACGTGCTGCAATCCAAACTCTGGAGTCAAAAAAAACTGAGATTAAGGAGGGGGTTTTTATTTCTATTAGCGACTATAAAAGTCTTTTTTACATAATCTGTGCTATTGCATTTTTAACTCTAATATTGTTCAAAATCTTTATGATTAACCCAAGAATATTCCTTAGGCGATTAGTAGTATTGTTATAATACTAACGTTGCCTTTATATCCTACTAGTAGTATCTAAGCAATTCAAATTCTATTATACTCTGCTTTACTTATGGAATGCCTGTCTATAGCCGATAATATAGACTCGGGTTGCCCTCACTGGCCTTCCGGGGGAGCCCTGGCGTAGCCATTCCAGCCGACCTCCCACCAGGTGTTCGGCGGGCCAACCGGTGTGTGCAACGGGAACGTGTCCGGATTCGGCCGGCACGGCGCGCCGGCCACGATCGCGCGGGGGCAGGGCTGTTCCTTGGACCGCCAACACAGGCAAGGCGGCACACCGGCGGCAATCTTGGCTGCCTCTTGGACCTTCCTCGCGGCCTCGGCCGCCCTAATGGCCGGCTGCTCGGCCCACCTCTTGAACGTGTCATCCCACGTCGTCGGGGGGCGCGATGTCGACTGCAAGATGACGTCCCGGTCGCCGACGAGGTCGACGCCGTCGAATCTCACGGTCGGGTCCACGTACAGCACTTCATCGGGTCGGACGTCGGACTGGCAGTCGCCGTGCATGACGCCGCGACAGGCCAGGATGTTTTCCCTCTCCCGCTCGATCAGTGCATTCACGCCCTTAATCCAGTCGCCAATGGTAAGCACCCCTCCGTCGCCCGTTCCGTGGATTGTCGCACGCGGCCCATTGGCGGGCGGGCGACCGAGCCCGCAGCAGTAGACGCGCCTGCAGGCTGGTATCTCAAAGTCGTCGTCGTCCACGGCCTTGCCCTGCTCGTCCGCCAGGTCCTCGATCATCCACCACTCATCATCGGACTGGTTAGGGACGGCCAGGCGCGCGCCAAAAGATGCCAGGCCCTCTTCGTCGTCCAAATCGGCGTGTGTACCGTGCTCGGCGAGCCACGTCTCCTCCCACATGTCCAGGGAGGGAATGGAAACGATCATCGAGGACACGGGCTGGAGGGTGAGCGGCTCTGCGGCGATGGGGTGCGTGGCCAGGCCGTAGGGCTGCTGGGGGGAGTTGGCGTCCGTGGCGTCTTCCAGTACGCGGATGGACTCGATGGCATCCCACGCTCGCCAGCGGAGGCGTAGGAGATGCGGGGAGATATCCACGCCGCCGTTGTGGCGGCGCCACTCGTAGGTGGGAGGGAGATCAGCCGGGATGGATTGGGGGCGATTTTCTGCCATGATGAAGGAGGGGTGTAGGGATGGGGAGGAGGTATGTGAGCTGTGCCTACGGGACACACAAGTAGGACTAGCAGGAACGTTTGGGGCGCTACCGTCAGCTATTATTGTTCGACACCAATGCCTGGACATGGAGACGGTGCCACTGAAATAGATCACCCGGATGAGGGTCACGATCAGGAAGGCATATTGGCTGCTGGCAAACCTGGAGGCCGAGTGACTACCGATTTGAGTTTACCCGGGGGACATGTGTATAGCTTCCATATATGAAATAATCCAATTAGCCGGTTTGTGGCCTGAATAGTGATATTCTCGCATACAAAAACGTACAATTATACCTACCTTACATGTTAGCAAACCGTTCAGGGTGCCTATAGTCACATATTGTGCCGTATAAAGTACTTTACCGACAAAACGTTCCATATCCAGCGTTATGTATACTGGTGCTGTGCCAGGTAGCCTAGGCCCAGTAAGTGAAAGTGGAACTCTCTCTCTCCTTTTTGCGGGGGGGAGAGGAAATACGAGGACGCCCCGGGCGATCGGGCGAAGAGGCTTGCAGCGTGTCCAATCTTCTTCTTTTCTGAACTGCATGTCTGTATTGGTCCCCCATAATTAATGCGTAGTCTTGATCGGGTTGCTTGCATTGGGGCCGGAGAGAGCCTAGAATTGTCCATAGGCCCCAACTGTGCCGCCGTTGTGCTGGTGTGCAGTCCTTCAAGTGTGTTCTTTCTAGCCTACATATTGTGGGGGCCAGCATGTTGAGTCTCCTTCCAGTACTGGAAGGCATTATAAAAGATAGAGACACCCAGCACTTGAAGCGAAACGACGGTGAGTCCAAAAAAGAGACACTGCAAATGAGAACTCGTCACTCCATCGGGCCAGGAAAACTTGTTCTCAACCACGCACCCCCAAAAGAGCCAACCCAATCCAGTGAAAGCGTCCCCTTTCGTCCAAATCAGATAGATCTCCTAAGGTGAACCTCCTGGGCGGAGGCAGTGTCTGGTCAACTTTAAGAAGTGCATTCTCTCTTAAACCATCCTAGCTCCGTTCTGCATCTCGGCTCTGCAAACGACTAGACGCGTGAGTACGTGTACGCATTCACACATCCTGACTCGGTTTGCGGAAGAGAGGGAGGGGGTGGAGTTTGGGGGAGATATGCTTAATTAAGAAGCTTGTACTTAGTCGTCTGCAGTTTTGGGCACCCAGCACAGAGGTCAGTCATGCTTGGACGGCACAGGTAATTTGCTCATTGGCTTGGGATTGATGCCTGTCAGTGTCCACTCATGGAAGGGTGGAGATGAGGTATTTCGTGTGGCTCGTCGATTCAAAACTGTTTTTAGAATGCAACCAGGAGCGGCCTTTTAGTAGTCTAAGTAAAAGTATAGGTCTTAATACGTAGTAAAAGATATAAACCAGCCTCCTTAGATACTAATAAAGGTTAAATAGGATTAGTGTGAAAACTCTGCATTGATACTACTTGTATATCTTTTCGTGAATTTTGTAGATGCAACTTTAGACAGCAACGTACATCAATTTGCAACCTTGAGTGACTTAAGGTTCAACAAGATCCACGCGGCTTGCTGCCTGTCAGGGCGCAGAGACGCAGGGTCTCGCGCCTGATCCCGTTCCAGGTTCCCCGAACCACTGCGATACCCTCGCAAGTCATCAAAATCCACAAATGACAGGTTTGATCACCGAACACACTCTCGCCGCTACATGCATATCTCTGTGCGATGCAGCACAATGCCACGACTTCTGCTTTTGTCTCCTTCCTAAAACGTCGAAGCATCTACAAGGGCTTAATCCCACGCGGCACAGTTAGGACAACATACTCTCAGAACAACGATGAGAAGGACAATGGAGGTAGGCCTAGACTGTGTTCGCTGGAATGCATTCTCCCAGGCGAACTCCGCAACTTAGTAAGGAGACTTGGTAATGGGCGGCATACACGTACGGAAGAACAATGAGGTGCTCAACGTCTTGACATAATGCCGGTGATCCGTATGAGGCCTCAGCTCGCTGATTTGGTCTGGACCTTGGCAAGTTGAGACAGAAAAGTATAAGAACCCGATCTGTGGCCACGAGAATGATAGCTTCTAACTCCTTCACCAGCACTCATCAGACACTTCTCGCTCTGCAACCTCAAACAGTCTTCTCTACCTCACTGCCGACCCATCTACCAAGGTACTCAACTTAGCACACAATCACGATGCAGGCCAACATGCAGTCTCTGCTCTCCATCGCCGCCCTCTTTCTCGCCGCCACTGGCGTCCAAGGTGCCGTCATTGCCCGGACAGAGGCCGCGGCTGTCTTCGAGCCAGAGACTGGTGGTCCTCAGCCTCCCATGCCAGAGGGGGCGACGATCCAGAACGCAGAGGGCGACATGGAGCTTATGCTCTTCCCCTCATGGATCACCTTCTATTCTGACTCGAGCTGTAAAAAGAGGGTTGGCAGCGTCAACTACAGCTCCTGGAACAACGGGTGCTTCTTCAACGGAGGCTCCTACATGCAAATCACAACTGACGGCGACGACTTCACCCTCGTCCAGAGCAAGCAGAAGGGCTGCCGCGGCGGAGTGAACCGGGAAGTCAAGTTCCGCGGCCATGCTGCTGACTGCTTCTTCCTCCGCGGAAATGGCTTCACGACTGGAGGCTCGGGCGAAAACACTCCGTACACCATCCGCAATGAGGGCAGAGCCGATTAGTAGACACTGGGCAGGTGGCACGGCAATGAAGGGGACGATGGAGGAGTGTTGGAGTGGGTTGAGTTAAAGGAGGCAGATGTGCTTGGAAACCTTGTTGGGGCACCTACCTGGGGGGGGGGGGGGGGGGGGGGGAGTAGTCACGTATACTCCTTAACGCCAACAATGGGGAACAGACTGGATCCATGTGGGCTGGCAATTCGTGATCAAGGTCTTGGTGATGGTGTCGGACGGTTTGAAGACGGGTTCTTGTATTAGCTGCAAGATCTGTGAACCCCAGGCTCTAGGTCATTCTCAAGGGTGTCACTTGATCGCGTGACTAGCCCGCACCACTGGGTAGGTATCTCCAGGCCGCAAACCGACCACACCTAGTAAGTATCATTCTTGCTTGTACCCAAATAATAGACCCCTATATGCGTTCCAGGGAATGGTAGCAAGTGATTGGCTCCGCACCATACTAGTAGGTGATCCATGTGTTGACACTGTCTCGAACAGTGAGTCCACCGTTCTTCTTGTCCCCTGACTGAATTTCAGCTTTCATAAGTTCGATACTTGTTACTTCAATCTTATGCCTGTCACTGGGCCGTGGGAAGAGAAGTCGGCTCTCAACATGTCGGAACTTATCGTCCTGTATAACCCAAAGAAGGATATCAAGACCGAGGTCAAGCGGAGGGATGACTGGGTAGGGACGTGGAGTCTCCAGATGGGGGAGAGTGAGACAAGAATCTCTCTTGCTTCAGGTTAGAATCAGTCACTTTAGTACTGAAGCAATAATCGTGTTTCAAAGACTGCCTGAATGATTGACACCTGATCAGCTACCGTTGTCTCTACCCAGTGGACTAAAGCACCGCACTGTTGTTCGAGGTGCGTCTAGTGACCTATAGATACCAATCTCGCTCAATGTCTTGGTAGATCAAAGCATATTTCACGGCTCCTTCCGGCGGACCATGATTTCTGTCACGAAGCACGAAGACCTTCGGTGTCGTCCTATATAAGAAGTTGAGTTGTAGCCCATATGGGGTAGGCTCTGCAGTATCGTGATCCCAGTACTAGTCCTCGAAGAACTCGAGCCGACCATCACCATATCCGAACATTCCATCCCGGTATGTGTGATTTTCCACACCCGTGTCTTTGCATGCTGATAATAAGGGTTAACCTTCGGGTCCACTGGCCATTAGTACAGATCCCAGTTGTCTGGGTATTGGTCGTAGTTCCATTGTGGAGCTTCCAACCTGCGGAGGTCGAGGCTGTCGACTGACACATCTTCGTCTTCTTCTTCATCAGCCTCGTTGATGTAATACACACCTTCGCTTTCCTCGTTCTCGCCATCGACATCCTTGTACGCCCGTGCCATGGGTCAACCATCCTTGGTCGTGAAATTGATCGCTTCGTGAGTGTGAACCGATCTATTGGGTGAGATATTGAGGGTGGAGAGATTACCGGCCTTAATACATGCCAGCAAGCGGTAAAGTGGAGGCATTATCATCATATACTTTCAAAAAAGACAGAGAGCGCAGTCGAAGTGATCGTTCAGTGGAGCTTCAAATAACTGGAGCCCAATTACACCATCAGGTCCATGGCGTCCAAAGCGGATGTCGATACGCGGTGCTTGGCCATTGCTGGACCAGAACCTCGCGCCGCCAAACTGGCCGAAAATATTATGACAGTCTTCCCGCCTAGCCCTTGTGACAACACGGCAACATGCTCTTACTTTTTACCTTAGATATAAATACTAGGTACTTTTACTTTCTTTACATTAAAAGAGTGCCAAGGCGGCCCGGTGCGAAGAAAACCTTCGGAAGGCTGTTAAATTTTATGTATTTGTTATGGCCAGCTTGGGTAACGGTATATTCTGCTAACAGAAGCTGAGGCTACGAGACTAACTATAGGTCGTTTTTCGTCTCACCAGTAGGTCGCACTAATGTATCAAGGGTTAATGTAGGGTAAAGTAATCAGTCTTATACTATTAAAATAGTAATCGTCATTATACTACTATAACCCTTAGGCTAGAAGTTAGATAAGATAAATCATAAAGTTGATTACTAAAGAACTAGCTAAGAGACCGTAAGTAGGTACTTAAGTCCTGATCTACATAAGTCCTAATAATCATAAGGTAGATTCTAATAAGCGCTCGTTATATATAATAAGCGTCGATTACCAAGGACGAGCACTTATCGTCTTAGCTAGGCGCTCGTTACATCACCTATATAATAGTTCTTGTCTTCCGATGTCTCTTATCACCTGTTCCCGTGTCCAACATACAAACGTCCACTCTTAGCCGCCCAACCCTGTGGGGCTTTGGTTGGTTATACATAACGGGTCGTAACATATGATGTCTGGCTAGCACAATCACTAAGGCCGATTAAGGCGACAACATCCCTCAGAATGGAATTAAGCTGTAAGGTATCCTATGAAAATCTCTCTCACATGATTTGAATAAGAATCTGGTAATGCAAACATATTCTTTAGAAGTTACTTGAAGATACTTTGTTAGCATACAAGAGTCTTCTAGTTTTGACCCGGCCTTCGATGAACCAGTACTGTCACTAAGGTGATAATTCGGCTTAAAATTGTTGGATCGAATGTCTATTACCCCCCTCATGAAGTGAATAGCCAGGGTCACAGGGTAGTTAAACTGCAGGCCTAACTAAAATCGGCTGGTGCAGCATGCTTCATGCGCCGCTAGTGCTTGATTCTTCCTGCGAAAGTGTACCACATACTATAGCATTCGGAACACAACTATGCGGTCAAAAACAACTTATGATTCTGCTTCACGCAGTAATTGGGAAGAATTCAAATTCAAAATAGGAAATCCAAACTCCATCAACTCAAATTTAATCGATGTGCTGCTCCATATGTTCATTGCCGTTCATTTCCTACGTAGAGGATGAAATCCGCCGCGCTACTGATCATCTTTGCTCGAATGAGGTCGAATACAACCCTGTACCTATTTTCCCGTCTTGGCATGCAGTTTCTCCCCGCCGTCTGCTAAGCCATCGATAACAAATCTACCGACGGCGAGGAATTTCCTCCATTAAGATAGGCTATCCTTGGCTCGATTTACTACCCCTCAGTCGTTTTGACAAGATCCATGCAGGCAGTAGCACTTTTGAACTTGAGCTTGGGTGCATTGATCCGTAGTTGCGGCTTTCGTAAGGGGATAAATGGAGATAATTTGTGAGTATTTAACCCAGGCTCTGGATGGTGGTCTCTTGTGTGGCTTTTCTTGGCAGTCTATGTCTGTGACAATACGGCCAAGTCTTGTTACTTCATTGCGTCCTACACGGGTTGTTGCACCTCTTGATTTCTCATTATGAAGCCAGTTATCTCTCTTGCCGCTCTCACAGGCACTTTGGCACTTGCGCAAAAAACTCGTCTATACTCCGAATGGCTGGCCTCCTCTTTTCTCTCTCGCCAAGCCAACATAAACTCCGGCTATGGTCCCGCTGTGCTATGGGAAGGTATCGCCCGCGCCGGCGAGAAGGTAGCAGCTAACGGCGGGTGTAAGACTCTCCTCAACGCAGCTGAGGCCAAGGTATCCTCCTTAGTGAGCGATAATGGTACGCTTGATGGATGGGATCCGGAGTGGTATTCCCTTGACGACCTGCGTATCGGCAACAACCTGTTGTACTTTTACCAGCGTAACAACGACACGAAGCTCAAAATTGCTGCCGATGGGCTTCGGCAGCAGCTGAACCGTTGGCCTCGAACCCCAAGCGGTGGGTTCTGGCACCGTGCGCCCATCTACGAGGACCAGATGTGGTTGGACGGCATTTACATGGCAGATACGTTCTATGCCACGTATGTTCACTTGTTTGAGCCGGACAACACAACTGCATGGGACGAGATCATTCTGCAGTTCGATCTCATTGAGGAGCACACCCGAAACCACACGAGTAACCTCCTTGTTCACGGTTACGACGAGGCCAAGGACGCTATTTGGGCCGACCCGGTAACCGGTGCCAGCCCTCTTGTGTGGAACCGTGCTGTTGGTTGGTATTTCATGGCACTCATCGACACTCTGCAGATCTACCCACAGACTCACCCTGGATATGATCGTCTGTTGGAGTACTTTGTGACGTTGGCCGATGGGCTGGCGTGTAGCCAGGACGAGAAAGGCGGTTGGTGGCTAATTATGAATGAAGGGTACGAAACTCGCAAAGGAAACTACATCGAGTCGAGCGCCACGGCCATGTTCTCCTACGGCCTTCTCCGGGGTGTGAGAGACGGGTTGCTCGATGCGAAATACAAGGAGGTTGGTCTGAAGGCGTACGATTTGTTGACTTCTGATTTTATCCGAGACGACAAGAATGGGACAATCAGCTTCCTGGGCACCGTGCAGGTTGGCAGCTTGAACTCAAACGCAAGCTTTGAGGTATGTGACTTCTAGTTCCGGACATCTTAAGTGCCAAATCTAACTTAGCTTCTCAGTACTACGTTAGCATCCCGCTTGTCGAGAACGATACCAGAGGCTTAGGATCCTTCCTGTTTGCAGCGATTGAGGAGGAGCTCTCTTAGATGAAGTTTTCGTGCTGGAAAGATTTAAAATATAGAAATAGTATTTTAGATTAAGTTTATCTAAATGCTAGATGTGGAGCACGCATCATCTCTCACCCGACTTAGTCATTTAAAGTCTGAAGTTCTTCACTGTGACTTTCAGTTTGTTCTTGGGCAATCCTCGCGCCAATCAGAGAAGCAGTGATGTCATACAGACATTACAATCACCCGACAGAAAATCGTCTCCACGCGGCCAGAAAGCCAACAAGATTTGATCGGATACGTCATTCAAGCGAGTTCTAGAACTTTGGCAATGGCCGCTATTTCAATTGCGCAAGCCGCGCATGGCCTTGCCTTCATGCACGGTCGCATTGGAGCATCTTATCGTTATCACCGTTGCTCGGTTAGACATCTACAACACCAAAATCTCACGGCACACAACACGATTGATTGAACACAACAAACCCTAAATAAACACTTCAAGATGGCAGCTCAGGCAAACGAGCAATCGGCCCAGTCGCCTCCGGCTCACAGAGAAAGTGTCCAAAGCGACCAAGAGTCGATCAAGCGTTCTCAAAATAATGAAAATAGCCCACAGCACAGCTCAACGGAGAACGGCTATGATAATAATGCAACCAACCAGGTAGCTCAGCGACAAGCCCGACAAGATATGGTCCAAAACCAACAATTCAATGGCGAGGGAGACGGGGCCTCTCAGCCACAAGACGCACAACAAATTGCACCGCAGAACCAGCAGATGCAAAGCAAAGGCAAAGGCGCACCGTCCATAAGGCTAGATATGGATCTTGATGTCGATATCGAGTTAAAAGCAAAGATAAAGGGCGATATAGAGTTATCTATATTGTGAGTATTCTGTAACGTATTGGGTGGCAATAAATATTGACTATTTCTAGGGGTGGTGACCAGAAAAAGAAATGAGATATGGGCAGAAACTAGGATAATGATGTTATGAATGGAATGCAATTGTATATTTTTAGCATGTAAATGGCAATTGAATAGAGCTAATCTAAACCTCAAATATTTCCAAATCCCATCTATGCATGTAGAGATGCATCTGGTTTGTCGAGCAACTTGAGTCGCTAGCTTTCATGTTCTGGTTTTGCAACTTGCTTAACCATGACCTGGCTGAGAGTAGCAGCTCCTGCGGCTTAGAAGCAGCTTTATCATCAAAGCAATCACAGGCCAAACAACAGAATCAATGCAGACGACCACTTGATGGCACAGTGTAGTAATTTGTTCGAATCTCATATTAGAGTATGGTATCCTCCTCGGTCATGATGAGTGGTGGTGAAACCCATAAAACCATCGGGCCTCACTCATCCTTGTGAAGATCTTTTCTCATCACACCCTTTAAGCTTTCCTCCGAGATTGTTATGTACTTCTCTGGAGAAACGCTATCCTCAAAGGGTACCCTTAGCCATTCATCTGCCTGGATGATTTTCCCCTCCCGTAACTTTAAATCAATGACTCCAGAGTATTGAAACGGCAAACCTGTTGCCTTCCGCCGCCCCAAGTCATTTACAAAAATACCCTTGTTAACAGTTCGAAAACTGCAGTATCCATTACCCTTTTCGTCAAGGTCGGCCCAGTAAACCGGGTATTGCTTATCGAGCCAGACCTCAAAATCTTTGTGGGCACCGTTCCAGTGCTTGTGGTGACGCTCAAGGAAGGCGAATGGAACGTGTATTTGGGCGCCGTGGTCTGTCATCACCGAGTCTGCTGTGAAAAGAGCCAAGAGCTCAGTCGGGTCACGAGTAGCCCAGGCACGACAGTAGACCTCAGGAAGATCTTTCAGGTTTGATGTTCCGTTCATTGCGCTTGATCTGGTGGAAAGGCTGAATTTTCAAATCGAAAGTATATTCTTGTTTCTTCAACGCAGTGTGATGAGTGTAATTTTATTAACAGGTTGCTACAGCTAAACGAAAAATTTGCTTTACAACTCGCGAAAACAAGTCGCCTTTTAAGTTAGCAGTGACTGTATGCAAAGTCGGATGCGGTTGGGGAAGCTCCGTCATCCAGGTTTGACTGAAACCGGAGAAGATAATCAGATGATTGCGCCGTGATAGTTTGTTAAGATTTCACACTGCTCCGACTTATCGAATGGGTGTTCCGGGCACTTCGGAGCCCAAAATTGAGTTTGCCAAACATCAGGCTGGAGACCACTAAGCTAGCAAATGTCAAACTACGGACCACACAGGCACCATTGCGGCATACCTAGCATGAGGAGGGCGAGCCTAGCAATTTCATGCCAATGATGTTGAGCTGTCTATAATGAGAAGATTAAAAAAAAAAACAAAAAACCACGTGGTGAAGATCACCTAGTTCAAGGCAGCTGGCTTATGAGGGACATCTTCGAAGCTATGTAACGATAGCGGAAGAAATAGTGATCATTTCATAGGTAGCATAGCATCCTATAGAATCTTATCTATGTAAAAGACATTTAAGAGAGCTGATGCGTGTCGCATCTGATTGATTAACAAGAATATTTAACAAGGTGTCAGCAATAACAACGGACTAGTTCAGTGCATCTGCACTGGCTTATGGCCCAACTTACCTTACCTACTTACAACCACATCGTTAGCTCATGGGTCATAGGAGGCCTCCATGCAGGCCTGGCTATGCAATCAACCGCGTTTGCAACCTACGAAAATAACGTCAAATTCAACGAGGGATAATCGTTTTCCCAAGCACACCCTTTTTCCAAGTTATGGCTGAGTTATGCTAACAAGGCCGACAAACCATCACCTGCTGTTGTTGGAGGCAAAGAGGCGTTACCCGACAAAATGGTACTTAGTCATTTAGAGCTATTAAGGACACTCAGAGGAGGCGGAAGCTACCTGTAGATGCATCTAAGTGTAAGTATATCCCAAGGCTTCTGAATTGTCCTGCTGACGGTTCTCCCGCTTTTTCGACTTTTCTGCCGGAATTACCCGCAGAAAGTCAAGCAGGGGTGCTTCGTCGTTCATTGAGCTGATTGGAAGAAACGAGTTCATTTGTAGCCCCAATGTGAATGTGCCCAATCCGATCCGCTCCGCAGGAAAACCGGCCACGAACGTAGTCTTTTAAATAGCACCTTACCATGCAGACGATCTTCCCACCGGTCAGCGCTTCGTGTTCCAGCCCCCAACCATCGATATATATCTCTTTCTCACTGAAAAATGAATTCTACACTACAAAGGGAGGACTCGGCACAGGACGCCTACCACTACCCCAAATCGCTTCCAGATAACGGATGGTTTCGGTTACTGAGCATCGCACCTTCAAATGAACCGTCCCGGCCTCTTGTGTGTCGCCTAGAACCTTACAAAATGGACATTGCACCTCCTTATGAAGCACTATCGTACACTTGGGGCCGTCAAAAACCAGAAAATTCGATTGAGTTGAACGGACGCTTGTTCTTGGTTCGGCCAAACCTCCATGCCGCACTGTTAGCACTTCGACGGCCAGATGAGAATCGATTTTTATGGGTTGATGCGATTTGTATTAACCAGCAAAATCAAAGAGAACGAACTCGTCAAGTATGGCAAATGAAGCAAGTTTATCGCGACGCTTTAAGGGTCAAGGTTTGGTTGGGTGATGCCACGAAAGGGTCGCAACGCGGAGTCGAGATTTTGCGACATTTTGAGCATGTTTCCCAGACGGCAACAGATCAGCACGTAAAATCCTTTCAAGACTTTCAAAATCTCTATGCGGATGTGATTCCTTTGATGAGTCGCTTTGAGAGCGCATCGGAATCCGAGGAAGTATTTGAACTCCTCCGACATCCCTGGTGGACAAGAGTTTGGACATTACAGGAAGGGGTATTGGGCCAAGATGTTGATTGTATATGTGGTCAAAAGTCAGTCCCCATTGAATGCTTCTCGAGCTTTTCTTGGTTCTTGTACTTCGCCATCAATTTCGGTATCTGGAACGGCCCTCAGATCGACTCATCCGTAGCTTTAAAGACCGCAAGATGGATCGGAAAGCTGAGAGACATACACAAAAAGGAAGGAAAGGTGACGATTTGGGGAGCTTTGAGTGCTTCATGGAACCGAGTTTCTACTGATCCCAAAGACAAGGTGATGGGTCTACTTGGGCTTCTCAACTTCGATAGGGCTGCCGCAGATATGCCGGATTATGGAGTGTCCACCGCGGACAACTACTGCAAACTCTTCTACTTTCTACTCGAGGAGGCAAACGCATTGAATCCGTTGGGATTGATATCTGAAATGCCTGAAGATAGACATCCCAGCTTACCGAGCTGGGTGCCTGATTTTCAGGTTCATTCAGGAGTTGGCAGCGATCATCTGGCGTCCCTATCAAAGGGCATTCATCCTTACGACGCATCTCTATCTAAGAGCGACTACGGATTCCAAATAAGAAAGGACTTGAATTCGAATGGGAGGGTACTAATAGCTGAAGGCATTGAATTTGACCTTGTGGATGACGTCGGCTGTAGAGCACCAGGTTGGGAGCTTTTGGAAAATCCACCTCCAGAAGACGAAAGATGGAAGGAGATGATGCAAGAGACGTTAACGGAATGGCGTTCTATGGCGAATGGCACAGAGACGTCGTACCCCACTGGCGAGAATTACGTGCGTGCGTTTTGGAGAACTGTATTGGTAGACCTCAAGCAAGGAGAGTTCCCCAGACCATCTAGTGCGCTCGGTGCCCGGAGGCTCGGGGACGAGGATCTCGCGTGGGTTATGAGTCTCGAGACAGGTGCTGCCCTCTGCCGGCTACTACTCACGTGGGAAGACTCTTGTAAGTCAGGGTTTAGACAGCTTCGACTTATCGAGCAGTTGAACAGAAGGTTTTTCATAAGCGGCAAGGGGTATTTTGGGCTTGGCCCGCCGTCACTGCAGGCCGGCGACGCAGTATGCATCCTTCGCTCAGGGGCTGTGGCATACGCCCTTCGGAAACAGAGTAACGATTGCTGGAAGTATTTGGGAGAATGGTAAGCTGCAATTTCTACTCATTGTAGCGCTCTATCACTGACCAGTTATCCAGCTACGTCCATGGTATTATGGATGGTGAAGCTGTTCAGGAAGCCAAAGGCCAGGGGCTTCATTACACGACATTCCGTATTGAATAGACTACTTAGAAATCCCCCCAACGACAGTTACAAGGAGCGAACAGTAGATGTAACGTGTTGGAAAGCTTGAATGCCCATTCAACTATTGATGATTGGTGCCGAGATTGGTCGTCACACTGAGTACATTGGTAGTCTCTTGTTGCGTAGGTACTGCCAAACGTGACAGGATTTTAATCACCAGGCAGACTTCAGTAATAACGTTTGATGTTGCGGATGACATAATTCCGTCCAGAGTAGTACTATGAAGGTCCGTCAATTCAAGCACTCAGGCGCTTCGGTAAGAATCGTGCGGCGATCGTCAATGGCTTCCAAGAATTTTGGACATGTCCCGTCTGTTGTGGCTGAACGCAACAGCATCAGCCAAGACTTTTTGGTAGGCCTTCAGTGGCTTAAATGTGCCAAGGGTGTCTTGCAGGCCCCCTGCAAACGCGCTGAGACTGTGCTTTGCTAGCGCTGATTGCTCCTAAGCGGCAGCACTAATAGACTCAAAGTGACGTCAGATCCAAAGACAAGGCACCACCAGGTGATCACCGCATCTTGTTGTTGCTGCCAGGCACGACCGACGCACTACGTAGGTGATGGTGACTGCCAAGGGATAAGTAGAAGCTTGGGAAACGGTATTGCTCCAAATAACAGTAGTATGTATTCCTTTGCTTCTTTCTCCAACTCAAGCAGAAATTCTTCGTTGACCACATCATTCCTCCAACCCTCGCTCGCCTCAATACTATACGAGCGACCGGTCTGGCTACTACCAGACAGCGTGTTTATCCTGATCGACAGCTGCCAATAATCTTAGAGTGTCCTTCAGAATGGCGCGCTTCAATCTTTTTCCTCGTCGGCAACATGACCCAAAAACGCCTCTCCCAACCCACCGGCGTCGAAGCAGTGAAGATACAAAGGTCAACGATCGCTGGCATGGTCGCGAAACTTATACCATGGCCCACCGTCCAACTTTCATGCAGTGGCTGAAAGTAACATGGTTGGACATTTTGACAATGATAGCCATGGGAGCCATCGCTCTAGGCGTGAGTTTCTCTGATTGCTCCCAATATGCTTCAACAATTAACAAAATATCTCTAGGTCTTCAGGGCGCATCCTCCAGCGCATCGGATGTTCCCGATCACCTTCGACAACGGCGAAGTAGTATACCCACAGTTTGCCTATCCTCACATTCCTCAATATATCCCAAGCCATGCTGCAACGGCTTTAGGAGTCGGTGTGCCTATTTTGGTCATTCTCCTCTGTCAAATTCGTGTGCGGTCGTTCTGGGACATCAACAACGGCATAATCGGGCTTCTTTATTCCCAACTTGGCTCCGCAGTCTTTCAGGTCATGATCAAATGGCTGATTGGTGGCCTGAGACCCAACTTCCTTGAAGTCTGTAAGCCTGATATTAGCAAAGCCTCCCAACCAGGGGGTAACGCGACCGGCTTAGACGGTACAGGCTACGGGGGCATCATGTACACCTACGATATCTGCACAACGGAAATGGGAGGATCACTCTCCAACGCACTTGAATCGTTTCCCTCAGGCCATACGACGTCCATGTTTGCCGGCATGGTCTTCCTGTACCTCTACCTGAACGCCAAGCTCAAAGTCTGGTCCAACTACCATCCGTCTATGTGGAAGCTCATCCTAGCATACGCCCCCATCCTTGGAGCCACTCTTGTAGGGGGTTCATTAACTGTTGACCAGTCCCATAATTGGTATGACATTATGGCCGGTGGGCTGATCGGTACAATGTTCGCTTTCTCCTCGTACAGGATGGTCTATGCTTCTATTTGGGACTGGCGTTTGAATCATGTCCCTCTCCACCGGAAGATGCCTTTTGAGTACGACCTTGACACCTTCGGAGACGGCCCCGTAGCCACTCGCAAGGCCGGATGGGGCAAGAAGCGTGTAGGCAGAGGTTCTGGTCCCGACAAGTTTACAAGGTCTCGATACAGCACCAGTAGAGACGGCCGCGGTGTCGGTGTGCCCCGCAAGGCGGTAACCTCACAATCAGATCGACCAAACCACCGACACTCTCCCAATGACATGGTTTAATAGGTGCATTTTGATTACGGTGTTTTGGTCCTGGAGTTGTAAATACCCATCTTTCCTCGTTGGTCATTGATACCCTTTACAAAGAGCGAAAACGAGAATGTAAAACTACCCAGAGGGTTTTATCTAATAGTTGTAATTAATATTATTCTCAAGAAGTTTTATCCAGAACAACGCCCATCGGCTGTTTCGAGTTCCGATCATCCATCTCTCTTGGCTCGAGACTCAAGCTTCAGGTACATGGCATATGGACTTTGGTGCACGTTCATAGCCTGCTGGTCATATGACAGTGCGCCCAGGTGTTATTGGGAAACACTGCAATGAAAATCAACGATCCAGTTGTTACTCTCAAGGTTGTTCTCGCTGCACTCAGGAATGATTTTCGCCTCGAACGTCTATCTGATGTCTAATGGGTCACTCTGCTCCACTAATAACACAGCCATGTGCCCGGTGACTATACTATTAAAGACGCAAAAATAGTTGTGTTTTTATTTAAAACACTCCCTAAATCTCTTATTTCCAGTTGAAAAACATGTGGAAACAAAGGGACCTGCACACCAACATGTCGTTCTAGCCTAGAGCTTGTGGCAGCTGTCATGAAAAGCCAAGCAATGCATTCATTCGAGGAAATTTGACTTGCTGATAGTTCGAAACTAGATGGCAAGCCCGTCAATGTCTGAAAGATCACAGAGAAATTCCTTGGGGTTTAGGGACCGTCTCGCAGATATTGGGCCTATTCGCGAGTCAATCCGGGTGGTGATCGCATGAAGACTGACTTTTCTTGGCGTGCAACGTAATTCTTGGCAGTGAACTTTATGAAGATCGGTAACCAGCCGTGGGCCCCTGAATTGAGCATCGGCCAGCTTCTGGCTGTGTACCAGACGATGATTTTTTTATCGATTCTAAAGAGTTAACGAGCAAGTTAAGAGGTTCAATAACCAGGGCTTGTGGAATCGAGTTCTGAAGCTCATGATATCAACGACGTGAAGTTGAGAATATTTTTGGAACCTTCTTCAACTTAAAATCAAATACGGCTTAGTCCAAGGAGACAGGACGAAGCCACCCACATCCCCAGTCCCGCGGCCCGGACATTCGGAAATCAACTGGCTCAACCTGGGATGAGAATTCCGCAGTGCCCGCGCACAGGTATCCCCAGCCACCGTGCCTGCCGAGAACTTTGGGGTCCCTAGATCGGCCCAAACCCTGCTTGGACGCAGCGGGTAGATGAGTTCACCGCCCTCCTTTCTTCCAGAAGTCCTTCTGTCTGTAAATAAACTTTACAAAAATATGCCAAGATCAACCATTTGCAAAATGTTAAGGCGCCCAGGCCATTAGCAGGTTTGACATATGATGTGCAGAAGCCGCAGAGCATCCCGTATATGAAAATCATTTTATGCCCTTTGGATTAGGCTGGACGAACAGCTGAGGTACCTAGGAGTTTGGACATACCTCGAGCTGTCATCCCAGACAGGAACATCTATACCAGACTCCTCATTCACTGTGATTTGCATGTGGCATCCCCACCTCTGGCTGATGGCTACCTTGTGAGATACTGGGACCAGATGCTTAAAGTGTCGCCCCGTTTATAATTCAGCAAATTTGTTTCTCCTGTGGCAAGGAGATTGAAGTTGGGCTATATCCCGGCTGCGAGGATCCATAATGGCTCCAGATGGCTGTTGCGGGAGCCCCAAAAGCTGTGGATGTTCCATAATATACACCAGATTGTGGAGAGACTGGGCAGTCGTCGATATACAAACTCCACACTCGGTAGGCGGCCGGCCTCTACCCCATGGGCTGGAGTGCTGTAGTCTACTCAGAATACAAGGGTTTGCTCAGATGAGATGAACGACCATGCTTCTTGACAGGCTGCCTAGCTCAGGAGTAACTTTGGATATATAAACAGAACATCATCACCCTCTTTCGACCAAACCTTCTTTTAGCAAGCTGCCTCTTCAAACGCTTCCTTTCACTTACAAAAGAACAGCATTCGTTCACTACTTTCTGTTTCATCTTCTTCACTTTCTTCACGTCTGGTACCAGTTTACAAACAACCCTTTCGCCATCACCACAACAATCACAATGGCGTCCAGGCTGGTCCTTTTCACTCTTGCCGCGCTGGCTGCTGCGAACCCCATCGACCCCAATGTCGGTGATGAGCGGCTGGCCCGCAAACATGTGGAAAACACCAAACACCTTGCTCGTGCCGTCATGTCCCCTCAGCATCCCAAGGTCAAGGTCCGATTCACCGACGCCGGCAACGCTGCCAAAGACATGTACATAAGAGACGACGGCAGCCGAATCATGGCGTCCAGGGCTGAGGACTCCAAGGACAAGGCCAAGGACAAGTCCAAAGACAAGACTAAGGACAAGAGCAAGGATAAGAGCAAGGACAAAAACAAGGATAAGAGCAAGGACAAGAATAAGGATAAGAACAAAGACAAGAACAAGGACAAGGGATCTGGCAGCGGCTCCGGCTCTGGAGGCGGCAAGTCTGGCGGCGGAAGCGGCAGCGGAAGCGGAGGCGGAAGCAGCGGTGGCGGCGGGTCCAGCTCCGGGGGCGGAAGCACTGGTGGTGGTGGTGGCAGCAGCGCCAACAATGGTACGACCCCCGGTGGCGGAGGTGGTGGTGGTCTGAAGAAGACTTTCCCAACCCCTGCCGGCACTGAGAACCTCTCTGCGGTTAGAACCATCACCGGCTCGTTTGATGGAGGCATGAAGTTGTTTGACCGCGTACCGAGCACTTGCACCGGCGGTGAGGGAAGCCGTCAGGACGCTGCTTTTATCCTCGAGGACGGCGCAACCCTGAGCAATGTTATCATCGGAGGCGGCGCTGGTGAGGGTATTCAGTGCGTTGGCAGCTGCACGCTGGAGAACGTGTAAGTCTTTTTGCTTTCCCCATACTACCCCCCCCCCCAAACTTCTGCAATGAAGAAGACTGACAACGACATCAATAGTTGGTGGGACAAGGTCTGCGAAGACGCGGCCACCTTCCGACAGACCGGCGGCAAGTCCACTGTCCGTGGTGGCGGTGCTCGTGGCGGCTCAGACAAGGTCTTCCAGCACAACGGCGGCGGCACCGTCGAGATCATTGACTTTTATGCTCAGAATGTCGGTCAGCTGTACCGCTCCTGTGGCAACTGCAAGGGTCAGGTCGCGCGCACTTCCGTTTTCACCAACATCTACGTCGATGGTGCAAAGACCGTCGTCCACGTCAACGGAAACCTCGGCGACAAGGCGACCATCAACGGCGCCTGCGTTCTTGGTGGCGCGACGGTTTGCAAGAACTCGAAGGGTGTTGAGGGCGGCGGCGAGCCTGGAGATGCGCCCGATGACCCCAATGTCTGCTCGCAGACCAACGTGAAGACCTCTGGGTGCTAAGCGATTTTCTGAAATCGCAAGGTATGCTGGAACATCTGGTGAGCTGGGTTCAGGTTGCTGAGAGGCGCTTTGAAACCGGCTCTCTAGACATAAGGCTGCTTGACAGGAAGTCAGGTTGCATTTCAACTGTAGATACTTGGACAACTCTTGCTGAAGAGGATCGAACAAACTGTGTTCTTTTGGATGTACTTCTGTATTTACAACTTTCCTGGATATACACTTCACATTGTTGCACTAAACGGAAAGCTTCGCTTTTGATGGTGAGAGAATGGCAGGGTGAGTAGACTTTTGGTCGTACGGTTGATGTGCGCGGTATTGTGATTTCTGAAGATAGTGTGACTTTGCATGTCTTCCATACAGGCTATGAAATGTTCAAATTTGGGGCTTTCAGGAAACCTGGCTAGTCAGGCACCCAGCCACTTAGCCAAGCCGCTCTATCATATGATGAAGTCTATGTAGTTAATAGTTTACTTATTCGGAAGCCTGCCAGGTGGATGGCAATTCTCTAACCCCTACAATAGCTCGATGATCACACTCTCCTTGCAGTATCAGAATCCCGTTTCAAATGGACCATAGGTATAGGGCTCTCACAGTTCATCCCGAGTTACTCATACCTTTCCATGAACAATTTCATTGCCTTTCTCCTTGTTGGACTTCAATTGCTGACCTAGGATACCTGCAGTCACCTATTAACAGAATTAGAGCATTGTATAGGTTAGTTTAGCTACAAAGGCTAGCCGGTCTAAAACGCGCTGCTTTTGAAGCATGTACTAGTGACGAATTTGTTGGGAAGTATCAGGTTTACGTAAAGGTAAGATTGCAGCCGCTATCAGCTTTGGTTATGGTCTTATCTCTTAACGCTGGTATGTCAGATCATGTCTCTTTTGTATAAGGTACTCCTTGCTCTGCGGCATTATTTTGTAAGTATTGGTATCAAATCAACGCTGCCACGATATTGTAGCGTTATTGTGGCGCGGTCAGGAAATCAATCGGTTGTAAAATAGGGACTTTGGTCTTCTGGCGGGCAACTTTGTGGAGTATTACGGCAGTCCGCAGGGCGCACTGGGTCAAAATTCAAGGTAGTGATAGGAACACCCCATAAGCGTAAACATATGTAATCTCGCGTAAAACGATTTTTGTTTTTATATATTTCTAGGTAGGTATTTACCCTTTTAGGAAATAAGGGTTTACTATATAGAACTATAGCCCCCTACGAGGCTTTATAATAATCCGTTAGAGGTTAGATCTTCCGGTTCCGGTTGATTAGGTATATAGTCTGTGCGCGCAAATCGATAAATAAATAGGAATTTAGTAAGGCTTAGAACTTCTTCCTTTTCCTTACGCTAAGCAGAGTTTAGGTATATAACCCTTACTATATAGAAATTTATAACGCTTTCTATACTATTTTATAGAGATTTAGTTTTTATCCTTTATTATACTTCCGTTTTCTTTTATCTTCTCTATTTTTGATTTTTTTTTCCGATTTTTTAAGCTTTTATATATTTCTATATAATCATTTACTAACTATTAGCTTTTATATAGATTTATATATCCCCGGGCGCTAGGCGTCGCCCCCGTTATATTACGTATAGTTTTCTAGCAAAGCTTTATAACATCTTATAATATCTTATAACATCTTATAACATCCTATAACATCTTTATAATCCCGAACGATACTCGATATTACTTTATACTACCGTATATTATAGCTTAGGATATAAAGCTAGCTACTAAGCTTATGCTAGATAAGATCGGAGACATAAAGATTCCTACGGAGTTGCCTGCCGAGCTACCTTCTATATATACTTATGCTCTCGGAACCGGCTACTACCTTACCTATATATATACTTTTATAATTCCCTTATAATATTATACTAACTTATTATAGATAGTATTCCTTATGCTAGTAATACTCTTATTAATAACATTCTAGATAATAAGGAAGCAGAGGTATAGTCTCCTTATACCCCTATATATACCTTACTTTTTTACTTATATATTATATAAGCTTATAACTTAATCGATATTTGCTTTATAGTTAAAACGGAAGACGATAGAAAAAAGCGCTTAAGTATAAGTATATACAGAATGCTAACTCTTTCCTTATGCATATATACGGAAATGCGCGCGAGGGTAAAGACTAGTATAAGAACTATATCAAAGGTAATAGTCTATATAATACCTATATTATTCTAGACGGCTATGCTAGCTATACTAACTATATATATAATTCTAGCGTTTCTAACTATAGCTTTAGTAAGTTTCGTCTTAACCTATATATAACTAAATATAAATCTAATCTATTTTATATAGCCTTATCCCCCTCGAAGCGACCTGCCGTAGAGATTTATACTTCCGCCCCGAGTAGTAAGAAGTTATACATCTCCCGTACGGAGTATAACTTTCTTAACGCAGTCCGTAGTATTAAGCCTAAGCATATACGACTTATTAGAAATATATTAGTTTCTATTATAGACAAGCTTACTAATATTAAGTATAGTGTTACAGGAAAAGGCGCACGCCTAACCGTTGCGCTAAAAGGTGCCGTCTAGCTAGATGTTATCTAACTAGACGTTAACAGGCCTCATAGACCTATGTGCAGGTAGGAGACCTACATGCATAGTGGGGCTTTAGCCCCTACATATGCGTGCGCATAGAACTGTGACATATAGTATATTATCATATATATCTAGTACTATCTATATATCTTTACTAACTATAGTTATATATAGATAAGAACGAAAACATCGAGATTAAGCTTTATTACGACTAAGCAAGACCTTATAAAATCCTATATAACCGTATAACAACTAGAGATAACGTAAACATATATTTATATAATGCTATAAATACCTACTAAGGCGTATAGAATCGGGAATCTAGTATATAGAAACGATAGGTATACTTATAAGAATAAGAAGATAGATATAAGCGTTTTGTTACGACCCGTTAGATACACCTAACAGGACCCACTCGGTTGGGCGGTTATGACAGGACTTTGTATGCAGGGCCACGGGAACAAAAGGTAACCTCTCGGAACGGAAGAACTATAGAACGGAACAAGTCACGTGATGAATCATTCTAGGTCAGAATGATCCAAGAAGAGTTGGGGGCCAACGGATCATGTTCGATCAATATGATCTCCAACGACTACAGACAATACGTGTAGATAGACTCCTATATAGACCAGGACTTGAGTACCTGCTCAAGCCCTCTAGATAGTTCTTCAGCAATCAACTTGTGATTCATCCTCGAATGACTTTCAGCTTACCTCTCAGTATTGTGAATACTAAGAACCTCGTTACCATAGTGTAAGACTGATCACCTTACCCTAACCCTACGATCTACCAGAACGACCTCTACGAACCAGTGTTAGTCTCTTACTGCACCTTCTGTTAGCAGAACCCTACTATCAGATAGCTGGCCGTAACACGTTTACGGTTAGTAACTTTAGTTTATAAGTCGGGTACTTCTATATAGAGTTTAGTACCCCTATATAGAAGCATAAGACTATCTATACTTTTGCGTTTTTAGGTTTTTTTTAAGATACCTAATTCGTATTTCTTTACTAATATCTATATTTTCCTATTCTCCGTAAATCTCTATATAGACTATTATATACACTTACTATAGCTAGCCGGCTACGTATCGACCTTACTTTTTTTTAATCTATTATTACTAAAAAGTTCTAGAATAGCTAGACTTATATTCTAATATAATTATATATCTTTCCGAATTATTCTAAATTTAGGTCTCTCCGTTAATATTTAAACGTTTCTTATAAAGCTTAAACCTCCGCCGCGAAGTCCGTACAGAATTTTCCAGCGCCTTACTACAACGTATCTTCCAGCTCTTCTTTGATCATAGGCTATCCGATTTAGATATTCTTTTATACTTACGGACGGAAGGCTTTATTATTACAGTTTTATAAACAGTCATCAAGGGTACGTAATATCTTACGTACTAGCCGTACCCGTATAAGAGACGCCCTCGACAGCATCATCGTTAGTAGGCTAACTTAATAAAAGACTAACTGCTTATACCTACGTTTATTAATTTATCGTTATTTATTACCTTATAACCGTTTATTTAACTTCTATACTATTCTATTTATATCTCTATTCTTATCACGGTTCCGACCTCTGCCTATTATAGCTACGTGCTAGCAGGAAGAACTATAACAAGTAGTAGCATAACTTAATCTCGATTTATTTTTTCTCTCGATTTAACCGCGATATATCGCGGAGAATCTCGAGGGAAACACCCTATAAGCCTACTCGCTTAAAATCATAACCTATACCTCGACGTAGCTAACGTAGACTTATACGATAAGTTATATAAATAACCCGAGGTTAAATAACGGTCATCGCGAGATAGCAAGACGTCTCTTACGATATTAGGAGATATATCCCGATAATCCTAAAACAATAAGAATTTCAGACTCCTTTTAAGTATATATAAGTATTATAGCGTTTATCGCGTAGAATACGAATATTAGCCGAATCGACGTTAGATACGACGATAGAACCTAGACTTAGGCAACGTAACTCGAAGACAGCTAGAAGGATAGAGAATTACGACTATAACAAGGCGGTAAATAGTATCGCTAAGGCGATTATCTACGCTTAAGAACTCTAGGACCTCTAAGGATAATTCGGAGAACCAAGCTCGGAAGAGTTAGACATTACGAAAGGTAAGCAACCCGTAAGAAATAACAAAACTACCAAACTAGCGCTAATAACGCCGCTAACACAGCTTTAATAGCAAAAGCAACAACCTCCTAAAGCACTACTTAAGCATAGCTAATACGAAGGGAATTACAAAGACCCCTAAAAGCCATAGTCTAGTATCGGATATACTATAAGCTAACCTTAACAAACTTTTTAATAAGCAAGACCGTTAAATTAATAATAATATACGAAACCGCTATAAGCTAAGGTTATTCTTCTAAAAACGGAAGCATAAGTTATAAAGACCCTATCGGAAGGAATATAATTTAT